CATGTACATGTATGAGAACATTCTACAAATAAATTACAATAGGCTAATGTACAGATTGTGAATACTATAAAAATAAAAAACAAATGGTAAAAATATCACTCTCTACATTGACAATGCAATGTACATGTATGATAAACTGCATTTAATCAGTATTATAGTTTGTGAAATTTTAAATACCTGTGAAAGGTGACCTTTCTTCCATTTTCCACCCTTGTCCCAGTCTTTGTACAATGTGGCACACAGCAATTTCTGCGATCCTTTTTGATTTTGACATTCTTCCCTTCCAGTACAGTACTTGGGTTTGTAGCTTTTACAAGGATTTCAATATTGCTGTCCATGGTCTCTCAGGACATGTACAGGACATGTAGTTGAGCTGAAAACAAACAGACATATGTTGTATGTTGTAACCAGGGTGAACTAGTAGGACTGAGAGTGTTTACTTTGTAGCAATGTTGTCGGGATTCATTGTAGCCGACCTGTATCAAATGTACATGTTTGTATCAATATGGCTACAATGTAAAAATGGCGTCGACTCACGACTCGGCAAAGAAGTACTAATTTTGAAAGCTCTGATAAATATAGGACAATGACAACCATATTTTTCGAATCAAACGATAAAAATACATAAATATTGAATCAATATTAATGTAAAATATCAGTTTTGCTACATAATAAGAAGGGAATGGAAAGTAGGTTTTACAGATTTTACTATTTTTTGTTATTGTTTTCGAAAAATAGAAATACAGATCTTTCTCTCAATCGATTCTCTGGAGTTATTATCTTCTAACAGGTGAAATATTACATGATTATGTCGTACTACAGGGTATTTAAAACGTGATATCTTACCCAATACGGTATTTTATTCCAAGTTAAAAACGGCAATTTTATATTGGTATAATGTAGCCATTTCTTCCTATCAAAGTATGACGTAGATGCGCGAAAAGACGACTGCGCATCCCGATAGGTGTCGGGATTTATCGGAAGACTCTATTTTGCTCTCGCAGTCGAACGAAACTGAAACTTCTTTCGTCGATATCTAGGTGAGTGATTTTTCAGGCTCCAGTATTTTGACAAAAGTAAGTTCAGGTCTTAGCCATTATTCGGGGTAGGGTTGAGGCCCCAACGATTCATTTTGGAGTTTTTCTTATTATATTGTATGGTCTGAAATATACTGAATTTTCAGCAGTGATGTCCTAGACACACGCTGTATACAGATCTTGACCATGACAAGCCAAAAATAATTATATTTTTATCTTTAAAAGTTACACAAATAATCATTTTACAATTATCTGAACTTTTGTGGATTGACCTGCAATAATAAAGAAAATTGAATAAATAAAAAAATGTTTCAATTTTTTTGGCCCATCCTGTGCACCCAGTGATTCAGAAATGTTACAGAGGTACCGAATGCCAAGAACATTTAGTCGGTGAGTTGATCAGACGTTGACATTTCGCCAAGAATACTAAACGAGCATTTCGTACTCGTACTACGAGGTCATCTTAAGATTTCATAACAATAGGATTTCTTGTAACTGGGAACATCATGAGATCAACTGGAGTCTTCTCCGGAGCCAGTCAACCCTCCGTATCAAAGGTTATTTAAGTATTTGTATATCCATTAGGGCAGGGATTTTAAGACTACGGTTCGAAATGAAAAATATATTTTTAGTTGAGCTCTGCTTTTCAAAACTGCACATCCATTGATACTCGGGGCGCTACCTCTGTGTAATTAGGGAGATTAAGTTTAACGTTTTAAAAGAACTTGTGCGTAATCTTGTAATAAATCGACCCCCATTATTCGACTGGGAGGTTTTGAAAATGGGGTTTATCCAGAGGGAGTATGTACATCTACCTGAGTGACCGTAGTGACCGAACGTAGATGTGTATATCTCACAATGGATAAACCCCATATCAAAACTGACCGTACACAAGTTGTTTATCCTATACCTAGTCCATTTTTCTATTTTTATTTTTTCTATTTTTTCACATTTTTCAAGATTTTATGAATCATAAAAGTCTTTTTGGGACGACTGTATCGTTGCTTTCGTACATTCATAAATATCAAGTGTGTTGAAATGATGGTCACGTGGGTTGTCTGCTGTCGAAGACTCAGGCACTGGTCAGCGTGGGGCTGTTGTATTCTGTGCTAGTATATATAGGTGTACGGTATGGTAAATTTTGAACGGTTTTCTATGACTCTAAACTGATTACGTTCTAGGATGTGAGATCTACCAAAAAAGGCGCAACGTCACCAACGAGCGAAAGTTAATTCTTTGCTATAAATCAATCAATGGAGGCCCACATGACATGTTTTAAATACTACTAGATGACATTATCATCTCAAAATGTATATCTTCTTGCGTTTTTTTAAATTTCTAATAACATGTTGTAAGAAATAATCTAAATTATACATGTGCAGTGGACGGAGGGAAAGTAAAGGGAATGGAGGGGGGATGGGAGTAACTGTAGAGAGTCTTTTTGTGCTGATCATGATTACTTTATTTATGTGCATGTATTAGGGCCCTGTAGACTACCATTCCTTGAATTCTATTCACAATTAATCAAGGAAAATTGAATGGGTGAGATAAAATTTGAGTTTGGGCAATATACAGTAGACATTTAAATTCGACTTCATTTTCATGGTGTTTATTCAAAAATGTTTCTGTTAAATTTTGATCTGCCAGATACCTTGGGTGTACCATGATGGCTGTCATTCTAGGTTATTTTGGCGCTCATTCCTATACATATTACTTGTGTACTATGAGACGCGAAACATCATTCATTTCTACAAAATAAGCATATTCCACTCCGGGTTGAAAGAAAGATGGCGGTGCGCTATGTCTATATTCTTGCAGGACAAATGGCATTCTATCTTTTAAATGAGTCTACAATTTCAGTTTCACCTCAAGAAATGAGATGTCATGGTTTATCATGATGTCTGAATCCTTTGATCGGTGATCTTTATGGCAAATTTCGAGAAAATCTTTATGGAAACAAAGTTGCATATCGCAAAGCGTTAATCTAACCTCAACTCTCTTTGTGTCATATTGCGTTAAATCGTTACAATTACTATAAGTACGCTATTGGTGCACACTCCCGTTTCACAGGAAACAATGAAATGTGACGTTATGAAAAATATTCTCGCAATTTGACGAACATTCGACGACGTCATTATTCCTTCGAAATTCACTGAAGCATGAACATAAAATTATGAAAATGACACATTACATTATTATTACATACATTCGATCTAAGGAATGAATCGATGAAAAGGATATTTCAAAACAAACCAATTGCAAGCAACTTCAATCAAAACATCGATTTAAAATTGAATAAACACGGAAACCAAGACAAATATTCTGAACTATAAAATTGAAAACTTTGTACTAATCTTCCATTTTTGATGAATTTATATGCAAATCCTACAAGATATAATCATTAATAATATCAATAGATAATCATTACATCAAAATGACATGTGCATCTTTATTTCAAATGAGAATTCATCATGATTGAAAGTTATGATGTGTAGAGAATTTGTTCTGTTAACTTTTAATGCGGGACTCATCAATCGCGCGCTTTTTACGTTTTCTCGCGTATTATAACCTATAGCGCGGAAATGTCTCTATTCTTTAAGACTCAAAGAATACGGTATATGTTCATGAAGAAGTATGGTTTACCCTATCATTTGGTACCACTGTAATGTATGGGACATGCGCAGGCAAATAAGAAAGCTATCAAATTATTTCAATAAAATCTGTCCTCGCTAATTCTGATGAAAGGGGACACAAAGTCCCCATTTTGTGTGTAAAATGACGTCAAAACGGTCTATGCACATTTAGTTCAGACTCTGGTATCATTCATTTTAAAAGGTGAAAAACTAAAAAAGAGTCTCTAATTTTTTAATCCATTATAATCACCTGATGCGCAGATGAGAAAAATATTTTTTAGGACTCAAAATATTAAAATACTCACACTCGCATAGATTGAAAATACCTAATTGATTTTAACGGGGATTTTTATCACGGAGGCTTCACTTGGACATTTTTCAATATTTTATAGAATTTACAAGGTTTATATGGCCACCAGGTCATCAAATATACTTTTTTTGTAGAACAAACATCTTCTTTATTTTTGACCATAAAGAATTTGAGATGATTCATTGCAATTTAAAAGACTTAGATGGCTTAGAACATATCTACCGTGGTAAAAAATAACGTAATTTTGACGAGGTTTCACTCCTAATATTCGTACAAAATCCATCGTGGCTGATACGTTTACATCTGAATCACTGATAAGTATATATAGTTTCAGTATGTTCGTGAAACTTTTCCGGATCTAACAAGTTAACAACTGTATGACAAACTGCTATATAACTCACAAAATCTACATTTAAGTACTATACGCAGGCTGAATAAGTCAGAGTTGAACACGAGTCACTCACAATTACGATTGCGACAATAGCTATTGTGACGTCATACGCTGTTCGTTATTTGTAAATATTTATGCATAGAATTGATGATCCATGACATAGGGTATTATCCTGAAAATATCATAAACATTGATGGAACAGTTAAAAAGATATATACTTTTACATACTACATGGCCATTTCGTTTCGTTCCTCGTTTAAACGTTGAACACGCCTTTTAGGGTGTTTTTATTCAATTGAGAGCTATTTGGAAGGGCTGTGAATTGAATAACCATAGAGGATATTTCGTGAAATTCAGTTCGAATAATTGCCTTATATGATAGCAAGAAGGATATATAAAAATTATTATAAATTATGTCGAAATACATGTTAAACGGAAGATCGAGATCTTTATAGACGTCTTAATTATATTGGCGATTTCAAATTTGTACCGATAGCGTACTTATAGTAAATGCGCTGCGTGTCATGGTTGTCACGTTATTTGGTTACGTTAGAGCTATGTATTGTCAAATAGTGTTAGTTAATATGTCTTTACGATGCGTTCTTAACTACAATTCGTTTAGAGGGTGAAGAGGATATGGTTCAGGCGTGGTCGGCACAAAAGGTACGAATATCATGTCTTATCTTATTAGATCTTCGAACATTCTCAACAAATCGTGTAGGGTGTAACTGAAGATTAACATGTTTAGTTTTAGTTTAAAACATTTCAACTATGTGTCTTATGTTTATGTGCAACATTTATTGGAAATTAAGATTAACAATATATTTACTATTGGCAGCTATCTGATTCATCAGGTTTTCGAAGCAACTTTTGAATACTCTTTGTAGTTTGTAGCGTTTGCAATGAGGCGATTCATCAATCATTCAGACTCGCACATGCTTATATTAAATTTAACACGATTTCCTTGGTGTGTGAAAATTATATTTCTTATTTAAGTTGTGCCTAGGGGGGGGGGGGGTGTCGGCGCATACAATGTTTTTGAGCTATGAAACATTTTAGGACACACAATAAATACATAGTCTTGGTTGTTATACTACTAATTGTGTGTTTCTGCTATTGTCTACAACCCAGCCGCGGTGTCATAACATGTTCATAGTTTATGCAAGAGTACATCGAACCTTGAGTAAGGATTCTATTACCAACAAGAAGAAGGCCATTCCTCTTTCCTTTTCAATGTCGCTCAACACTAAAAGGTCCCTCGGAGAGTATCTTAGAAGTTGATTATGAAATTCAGTCGATGACTGGCTCTGATGCATTGTGTGATCTTCATTCCTAGGTCGAGGGCTTCTCAAATGTCGAAGATCGGTGGCACGTGATTAAAGACCCCACGAAATAATTGAGATAAGGCGTAATAACAACCTTGGAGCCAGCGTGGATATACGAAGATAAAGCATGAATCCCTCAGTACTGCTAAATGTATCATATTCCTGCAGGAACAATGTTGAAGTAATTATAAAAAGAAATATTTTGTTTTTACGTGTTTTATGTGACAGTTAAAGTGGGTCCGACATTTTAAGTTGGCTCCGAGGAACACTTTAAGTCTTTTAAAAATACTTTGTCACCCTCGTAATTACCAATTGAAAACCTATAAATGTTTATGAACAAACTTAACTTCACGAGTGTTATCTACCCTTCGCCAGGACACGGCCTATATCACACTCCTTAAACCATAGATAAATTCAGATTACATAAGCCAATCAAGATACGATTGACATGAACATCTTATATTCGTTAACATTCGAAAGTCCATGAATCTTTATTTGAAATCGAAACATGAAAACTATTGTTCAAGTGAGGGGACGATGTATATGTATTCGTGGTAAAGTATATCGTTTAAGTATGATGAGAACCTGAAATGATTTTTATAGTGAGAGGGCTATGGCTTTGGATTCGTGTTAAAGTGTATTGTTTAAGTATAATAAGAACTTGAAATCATTTGTTTAAGTAAGAGGGCTTTGGATTTGGATTCAGGTGTATCGTTCAAGTGTGGTAAGAACTTGAAATCATGATATTGTGAGGGGATTATGGATTTGGATTCAGTGTTAGTGTATCGTTAAGTATAGTTTGGTGAATCATTTGTTATAGTAAGAGGGCGATGGATTTGCATTCAAGGCAAGTGTATCGTTAAGTATAGTATGGTGAATCATTTGTTATAGTAAGAGGGCGATGGATTTGCATTCAGGGTAAGTGTATCGTTAAGTATAGTATGGTGAATCATTTGTTATAGTGAGAGAGCGATCGATTTGCATTCAAGGCAAGTGTATCGTTAAGTATAGTATGGTGAATCATTTGTTATAGTAAGAGGGCGATGGATTTGCATTCAGGGTAAGTGTATCGTTAAGTATAGTATGGTGAATCATTTGTTATAGCGAGAGGGCGATGGATTTGCATTCAAGGCAAGTATATCGTTAAGTATAGTATGGTGAATCATTTGTTATAGTAAGAGGGCGATGGATTTGCATTCAGGGTTTGTGTATCGTTAAGTATAGTATGGTGAATCATTTGTTATAGTAAGAGGGCGATGGATTTGCATTCAGGGTAAGTGTATCGTTAAGTATAGTATGGTGAATCATTTGTTATAGTAAGAGGGCGATGGATTTGCATTCAGGGTTAGTGTATCGTTAAGTATAGAGTATGGTGAATCATTTGTTATAGTAAGAGGGCGATGGATTTGCATTCAGGGTAAGTGTATCGTTAAGTATAGCATGATGAATCATTTGTTATAGTAAGAGGGCGATGGATTTGCATTCAGAGTAAGTGTATCGTTAAGTATAGTATGATGAATCATTTGTTATAGTAAGAGGGCGATGGATTTGCATTCAGGGTAAGTGTATCGTTAAGTATAGTATGATGAATCATTTGTTGTAGTAAGAGGGCGATGGATTTGCATTCAGGGTAAATGTATCGTTAAGTATAGTATGATGAATCATTTGTTATAGTAAGAGGGCGATGGATTTGCATTCAGGGTAAGTGTATCGTTAAGTATAGTATGGTGAATCATTTGTTATAGTAAGAGGGCGATCGATTTGCATTCAAGGCAAGTGTATCGTTAAGTATGGTATGGTGAATCATTTGTTATAGTAAGAGGGCGATGGATTTGCATTCAGGGTTAGTGTATCGTTAAGTATAGTATGGTGAATCATTTGTTATAGTAAGAGGGCGATGGATTTGCATTCAGGGTAAGTGTATCGTTAAGTATAGTATGGTGAATCATTTGTTATAGTAAGAGGGCGATGGATTTGCATTCAAGGCAAGTGTATCGTTAAGTAGAGTATGGTGAATCATTTGTTATAGTAAGAGGGCGATCGACTTGCATTCAAGGCAAGTGTATCGTTTAATTGAAATCATGAATGAACACACTCTTTGGCTTGAGTAGAAACATATTAAAATCAAAATAAACATAAATCATATGTTCATAAAATAAATGTAATTTAGAGGCACTTGATAAGCCCTGCGTTTGTAAGTAAGATAACGGCGAAAACACAAAGATTGACGGACCTTAAACAATGGCGGATCCAGAAATTAACAAGGGGGGGGCAAATTTTGAGTCTGGAAAATTTATGCGCTTGCGCAGATAAAATTTTGGGTCCTTAAAACCAAAATTTGGGCTAATTTTATAAAAATTAGGGCCCATTTTTGATAAATTGGCCAGAAAAGGCCAAATCATGCAAAAAAGGCCCATTTTTGAGACCCGACAAAATGTTGGGGCCCAAAAACTAAAAACAATTCCATTCTTATTATAAGTGGGACAATTTAAATATTCTTACCTGAAGCTTAAATAGCTTCACCAATTGATAACATATCACGGATCTTTAGGGAGATATTATATCTGAACTTGAATTTTCTTCAATAATGTCTCTTTCTAAAAAAGTGTAACTTTGAAAACGGGTTGAAACTTTTTGAAATATTGAATGCTGTTGAAAGCTAATCAAAAATAACCACACCAGTGGAATTCAAGACATTGCTTCACATCCCGTTGGTAAGCGTCCCTTTGATAAGAATTCCAAAAGGTTGAACTACATAGCAGGATGGGTATGCGATTTTAATTTTGGTCGTTTATAAGGTCCGTGCATTCACAGCTGAGCCTTCTAAAACTTCAAGAATGGCCGATAATAAATCTGAATATATTTTAGGTTAAGGATGTTCACCTCCAAATGCCAGAACAATTACCCTGAAAGTATCAATTAACTTACAAGTTCACACAGCTTCATCCGAAACAGCTCGATTCTTCTCTTATGAAGTAAAATATTAAATTCCAAACTAATTAGCCTTGTAGCGAAACACTTGCTTCGAGTCTGTTTTGTGTTTATTTTTTGACACTCACTGTTGGTGAACATGAAAGTTGTTGTACTTCTGACGTTACAGAATGATTTAGTGAAAGTGTCGAAGTGATCACTTAGCCTCTGTGAACCAAATGTAAAGAGAGAATGTTTCCTTTGAACCATAAACATAGCTACCGTTTACCCAGGAATTAAATAACCAGAACGTGACAGGTTTTAAATAGGAATACGCGTCTCGAGACATAGGGATCTTTAAAAAATATTCGTTAATTATGAGTTACTGAATTGAAAGATTCGTGACAGAAGACAACAATTAAGACAAGCGGGAATGAGACGTGACGTCAATTGTCCGAAAAGTCCATCTGATGTTTTTATGAGCTGACGCAGTTTTGGGACATGGGACTACGCAGACTCGTATCATTGAACGTGCTTCACTGCTAAGACTCAGTTTCAAATTGGATTTGACGCGCACTTTACACGATTATCGCTATTCGGTCATATTGGTTATCTTGAGGTGGTAAACGAATTGCTCTTGGAAGTACTACAGGTGTGTTTTGGCGTCTTTCTGAATAATATGTGTTATTCTACTAAAGGAATTGATACAATAACAGTTTTGACAATAGGAACATTACTCGTGGAACGTGCCTATGTACAATAGCAAATTGTATCAATTTAAGAAGGACGAATTAGAAGGTCGTGAGAAAGACCAAGAGTTTACAAAAGTAGGACTGAGGTTTTGAAGGAGTGTATTGAATTTTGATATTCATCCTTTCACTTCCTTATGATGTACAATCTACATAAGACATACGCATTTAAAGGATTTACAAGGTATTTGTTTAACATTTGCACTAAAAGTCAGTCGGTTTTAGATATATTTGTTCAAGCCCTCTCTATTTTTGCTTGTTTTATGTAAAACCTCTTGTGTTATTTTGAATGCTTCTATTATATTCCTTACTCAGGATCGCTAGTTTAATGTTTAATGACTAGTAATAGAAAGAGCCAGAACACCTCAGGTGATAGGAACTTTAGGAAAAGTTACCTCTTCACAGTACATAATAATGTTACACGAGAGTTTCTTCACAGTGCATTTTAATGTTACGCGAGAGTTTCTTCACAATACATAATAATGTTACATGAGAGTTTCTTCACAGTACATTATAATGTTACGCGAGGGTTTCTATAAAGTACATTATATGTTTCAATTTGAATAAATATTTACTAGAACATTTGGTTTGATTATTTGAGATTTTAAATGTTCATCTAAATCCGCTAGAACTAGATTTTAACTTTTGTTGGGAGTTAAAAAGAAAATTATCAGACGATTTGCAAAGCAGAAATCTGCTAAAACCTGACTGTTTAAGTTCAATCTCTATATCATAAAAGGCCAGAAATATTAACAAAATCAAATGAATTTGTTATGGCAACCAACAAAAACAGTCGTTAATGTGTGATTAGAAAGGGGACTTCTGTTTGCTAAACACTTGTAGGCGAGGGTACAATAGTGGCGTTGTTATAGTAACGATTATTGCGGCGTTGTTAGAGTAACGATTATCGCTGCGTTGTTAGAGTAACGATTATTGCGGCGTTGTTAGAGTAACTATGATCGCAGCGTTGTTCGAGTAACGATTATCGCGGCGTTGTTAGAGTAACTATTATCGTGGTGTTGTTAGAGCAACGATTATCGCGGCGTTGTTAGAGTAATGATTGTCGAGGCGTTGTTAGAGTAACGATTATCGCGGCGTTGTTAAAGTAACTATTATATGTAGATGTTAAAATGTATAACTTTTTAATTATTGGTTCAAGCATAAATTAAATGTGACCTTAGTATTTTACACGGTCAAGTAGGTGATATTTACTTGGGTATCTTTAAGAGATTATCTTTTCATAATAATCACTTCCAAGCCCTTGAGATAATACATCTATAACACCCAGCCGCCAACGACCGATATGCGTTTCGATTGGCTTCAAAAATTCAGGTGATATCTTTTAGCATGCTGGGTAGACGTCTTATTTGGTAAAAGAACGCTAAAGGCCTCACTTTTCGGGACGAATTCATTTGCCAAATATTGTCTTGAACAGTTATCACGAGTTTGAGCCCCGAGCGCTAGAGGTGTTAAACGTTAAAAGGATTAGTAAAGAAAATAAAAACATAGGTTTTAAAGACGATTACAAAGCAGCGGGCCAAATGAAATACGGTGCTACATTTTATTATTGGAATTTTATCGCCCATTCGAAGATGGTTTATAAACTTTAGCAATGCTTATGTGTGAGTTTAGTGCTTTTAGCCAAACTGCATATGTGTAGTTAATATTGGTGCAACTGTTAAATTAGGCGACTTGAAAGTTTATTTAGAAAACCGCTGGCTACTTTATAAACTATTCTAGTATGTTGTAACCATGGAATTAGTCTGATCTTTTAAATCAGTTTAAGGAATTCTATCAATCCATTTTTGAGTTTGACTTAACATTGCTCTTAGGATATCTATGGAAATATTTGAAATTGATCTACGCAGCATGGTACATTTTCAGATGACTACTTTCGTATGTTATCTGGGAAGGACTCGGTGGGATTAATTTTGCTGCAAGGACGATCTATGGAAATATGAAACTGATCTACTCAACATATTTTATTTTCAGATGACTGCCTTTTCACCGTGAAAGACTCGATAGGATTATGGTATCTGGACGTGATCGGTAAATCCCCAATAATTACACAAATACTTTCAATCTTTAAACAAAAAATGCACACTTAATTATGCGGACCACGTTCTGGCTTATAACTTATCAAATCAAAAACACTATAATAATTGTCCAATACGAGATTTCAATATTGAATTTGAGAAAATGCTTCTAATTGAAGGAGCAAATATGCACACATGTGTCGAATAACATAATTTAAAAATGGATAGAACGTATGGCGATGTCGAAGTTTGCCTGTTGGAGAACCAGCAGAATACAAATGGTGTGATGGAAAATAATCACACCATTGCACTTTGTGTGACTTGTAACAGACAATGTGATAAACTTCTCAGTAATGGTGTCAATGAAGAATGTGGACACAGTCCAGTAATTGTGAGTCCGAATGGCCGCAGTACTACTGACGCTAAAACAGAGACGTTTAAGCCACTCATACATAGCGGTGAAGCTGATCTTGATCCTGACCGTGAAACTTGGGACAAGAAAATTGACTTTTTACTATCTATCATTGGATTTGCAGTTGATCTCGCTAACGTGTGGAGATTTCCATATCTATGCTACAAGAATGGAGGGGGTAAGACATTTGAAAATTTCTTATTTTATCTTTTTTATCTATTTTTTTTATTTTATCAGTTTATTAGAATTACAGTATATCAAAAGATGTATATGGATAATCGTTAATCCTCATGTAGACTGGTGACAGGGAGTTTAAAAGCTGTCAAAATTCCCTTTCTTACAATCTTTGAAATGCACAGCTACTACTCTCATATGCATGAGTCAAGAAATGTGTTGCAATAGCAACGCATCTCAACATATCATGTTTCTAACTCCCTTTTTCATCAACCATATTAGCTTACATTTACAGGATATACCTAAAAAATGTTATTCACTACCCTCGTGCAAAGTTGTACTTATCCTGTTACTGGTTGCTATGGTAACTACTTCAAATGCGTAAAAGTTCGCATTTTCTTACATTTTATATTATGTTGTATATTAGAAACATCACTCTTTGGTAAATATAACAGGTTATTGATTTATAGTACTGCCTTAAAAATCTTTCCGAGACCTATGTTTAGACAAAATGTTTAGCTTGACATTGTAGGGTTTTTATAAACTCGGAGAAAATGATTATTTTTGGACAGCTTTGAAACACATAAATATTTATTGCATAACAAATAAAACTAGTCGAGTGACAATACTATTACAACCAATGAGCTTTTCTTCAAACGTTTGCATACTTAATAATAATTAAACGAGGTGCAGAGTTATTGACTGAGGGGGCATGTACTTTAAGTGGGAGTGTCTTATACTCTATACCATGTACGTTTCGAGCAGTCGTATACCATGTACGTTTCGAGCGGCCATATACAATATGTACGTTTCCAGGGTCGTATACCTTTCTTGACAGATACCATTTTCCACTGTTATCTTACTGGTGTTATTTGACGCAACAAAATGCTCTTTTCTCAGAAGCGATTGATCCACCAGAAATATGTGTTAAAACTAATCTTAAAAGTTACCGTTTTGCCAATATATTCCGTGTCGCCATTCTTTAGATTGGATTTTTACATGTAATTCACGATTTATCATCGACTATCTGAAAATAACAATGTGACTCTAAGACTGAGATTATTTAATGCCCTGTACCATCAAAATCGTGTTACGCTACCCTCACACAAAGTTGGCGTGGCGTGCACTACCAAAATGACCTAGTTACGCCAGTGAGTTTCTTATCAATTGTTTTAAAAAGTTTATCAAATCATGAAGTTAATTATGATGAAGGCATTACGTGTATATTCTGATATTAATTGTCATCTTAAATTGAGATTTTAAAGGTGCAACGAAAAGGAGTAACTTACAGAAAACAAATCACAATTTTTTCCTCATTCTCTCATGAATTTGTTAATGTAAACATCTACATTTAATCAGATATTTCAGTTGTATATTTTCAGATAATAAACTTGGCAAATAGAATTGGCAGATTTTCCATTTAGGAGTTTCAAAGGCACATACCATAAGGACAATACACTGTTTAAGATTTAATAGAGAAATTGAGTATATTGTAATCATACTTCGAAGAGATTTCCAAGGAATGGCGAATTCCTGCTCTAGGCAGCCATTTTGAATTTTCCCGAGGCACCAATCAGAAAAAAATACCACAATTGTGATATACTCTAATAAGATTCCTTCAATTAGAGTATAACAGCCATACTTTGAAGACATCAGTAAACTATTGCGAAATCTCACAATAGGCGACCATCTTGAATTTTACGAGGCCTGAATCAAAACAACAATATAATATTTGCAATCTCCTCTAAACTGCCGTTCATTTGAGTATAATAAAGTAATACTTCAGACAGATCTCAAAATTAATTTAAATTCCTGTTTTCCCGTATGTGTGCGGCCCCTGGGGTCAGGATGAAAAACACGGAATATAATACAATATAATATTTATTACTTTGGTTTAAAATGATAATATATTAATAACACTAATATTCTCTCGGACTGATGGACAGACTGATAGACGGACGGACGGATGGATGGTTCACTATATCCCTACCGAGCTTCGTTCTTTAAGATAATCAATTAAACTCTACAAGAGAACATTGGCATGCATTTTAGAAATATTAATTTGAACACTTAAGTTTCTATTACTTGGCCCCACTTTAAATCTCCCAATCGTGTAAATCATCTTAAAGTGTGCGCCAAAATTTAAAACTGCGCAAGCGCAGCGCTCTCGCTAACCTATATAAAGAGATTACAGGGTACATGCTTCAGAGGTAAGCCAGGAAGGTGTACAACTATCGTCCCGTGTTGATTTCCCGTATAATCGTAACCAGGCAAGTTTCACCATTGGAATTGAAATGACTATTAGATATACTTTGTAGATGTTTATATATCACTGTGTATATGAAGGTATTAAGTGTATGCATCAATCAAATTGCTCATTTTGAACATATAAAAAGTATTTGTGTTTGTTTCCCAGGGAATTGTATTCCCATGTACGTACACACATAAATAGTGTACATTATGTTGTACTTGAATAGCCTGGCTTATATAATATTGAAGGGCATGCTGATTGTACACACGAGTACATGCATGAAGGCCTAATATTGATATTGCTTGCATACCTAAAGTAAAAATAAACTCTTCTAATCCCCTAATGTAAACACGGCGGTATACGTAGCCCGATTTATCGGGGGCTTTAATCAAACTAGGGTAACTTCCAAACAAATTATTGTTAGAAAAATAATTGGAGAGGGACTTGTTTGTTAATTTTTAAGTATATGTGCTTTTAAAATTTCATTTTCGGGTATCTATCGGTATTATAACGCGATTCTGTTAGTATGACGTAGGGAGCGATAGCGAAATACCATAGCTTCATTACTCCATTTCACGCCGTTGGAAACGTCTTCATAATTACACTTTTGAGACTTTGTTGTTTTATAATCTTAACGGTCTAGTGATTCACGATTTTTCAGTATACTATACATAAGAGTGAGAGAACAAGGTTCCCAAAATCATCGAGATAGGGAAAACCTTAAAGGGTTCCGATAAGCTTCCCGTATAAAAACAATATGGCGGCTCCAGGCGAGTCAACTTGATCAGTCCATTTTTAAGAAATAAGGGGAGTTTTGTAAAATCCAGTTTATTGAAATTGACTTGGAGATGAAGTAGTCCGTTTATAATGATTCTGAAAACATTATTGAAAGAGTGATTTCAAAGAATGTATGTACTTCCGTTTCCTCCCAGGTTATTGATGTCAAAACTATTGTGATGACGATGACGTCTCCTTTATGCACCATTCAAAAGTTCGTCTGAGACCCCCCCCCCCCCCCCTACGCGGGGAGGGTTAGGAATTTTATCCACAACATTGCCCCCAGGGGTGGGAATTTGACGAAGATTGTCGTCCCGGGGGTGGGAAATTTGATTTACATGTGCCCGGGAATGGGGATTTTTGACTGAATCTATTTAGTCCAGTTCACTACATTTAGTGAACACAGAACAAAATAACTCATTTACAAAGTTGGGTAAAGTTTCAGGGGTATAGATTTCAAATGGTGGAAGGACCCAGGGGTCGCAAAGATTTGACCAGATTTAATTTATTGCTCCAAGGGTAGGGAAATTGACACATTTATTTGGCCCTGGGGTTAGGAATTAGACAGGCCAAAACTTTTTTTTGTCAAATTCCCCACCCATGCCCGCGTGGGGGGTCTCACGCAAACTTCTGAATGGTGCTTTATGAGTTATCCAATTACTTTGCGAAAAAGCATTATGCAACAACAAAAGATTTCAGACCATTGCTAAATTAATTTGAGATAGCTACCTGGATATCATATTTCAAACTTCGTGGTTTGTGAGTAGTTTAAAGCACCGTTCTCAGCTAATCGTACTCACAACAATTATACTCTGGGTGTTTAAGGCACCAGTCTCGGCTAATCGTATAAAACAACGAATATACCCTTGGTGGGCACCGTTCCCAGCTAATCGTACTCATAACAATTATACTCTGGGTGTTTAAGGCACTTGTCTCGGCTAATCGTATAAAACAACGAATATACCCTTGGTGGGCACCGTTCCCAGCTAATCGTACTCATAACAATTATACTCTGGGTGTTTAAGGCACTTGTCTCGGCTAATCGTATAAAACAACGAATATACCCTTGGTGGGCACCGTTCCCAGCTAATCGTACTCACAACAATTATACTCTGGGTGTTTAAGGCACTAGTCTCGGCTAATCGTATAAAACAACGAATATACCCTTGGTGGGCACCGTTCCCAGCTAATCGTACTCACAACAATTATACTCTGGGTGTTTAAGGCACCAGTCTTGGCTAATCGTATAAAACAACGAATATACCCTTGGTGGGCACCGTTCCCAGCTAATCGTACTCATAACAATTATACTCTGGGTGTTTAAGGGACCGTTTTCAACAATTAATACCATGTCTGTTCAAGGCACCGTTCTCAGCTGTTCGTACTAACAACAACCCCAAATATTTATTATGACAATGTTCAGCGTTTCTTTTTTGTCGAAAATCAATTTTTGCTAAATGGTTATTCAGGCACTTTTGTTTTGTTTTTTTTTGTTATTAAAGTGTATATTTTTGCACGACTTTGTAACTTATACTTAAGGTAGAATCGTTTTACAGCTAACATGGTGACCAGATCGGATATCCCTTTTGTACCCGATGTAAAACAGCTTCGATCGTCTTATTCAAAAAGACGTTCATTTTAATGGAGGTGTAATCAGTTTTTGTAATTAATTGTTGAAGGGACGCTCTTTGTTGCGTGATAACAAAAAAAGTCTAATATGGGCACAGTTTCATTTTAGACAAGTCCCTACTCTCAAAATAATTGTTAAATTATTTAATCGAATGTGACACATTTATGTTAAATGTAAGTCCTAGACGGTAGACATGTATACATGTATATCGGTTACAAGGCTTTCATCTCTGACAGTCTTGTATTAATTATAAGATCAAAAAAATATGCAAGCACAAGAAGTATTAATAACACATAAACACTCAATGGATACTCCTTACAAGCCGATTTCTCTCTTGACGTAGAAG